GTGTGTGTGTGTGTGTGTGTGTGTCTGGGGAGCTTAACCTGAAGCCTGCAGATGAAGGGCACTCATGAAAAGCATTATTTTTAATGGTCTTCCTTTGGACTCCTACACACCTTTCTTTTAGGTATTTAAAAAGAGTATTTTGAAAACAAACAGTAGTTTAAGAAGGTATCTGTTTACAGGCTTCACCAGATGACCAAAGGGCTCCGTGCAGCAGTGAGGGGGGAGACCCTCTGTCTGTGGAACCACAGGCACCCTGAGCACCCCCAGCCTCCATTTCCCAGGGGCGTCCCTGCGCCGTGGCCTGGCTGACTGGGGAGCAGCCAGCAGCCGGTTCAGAGGGCACAGAGACAGAGCTGCTGCATGCGGAGCAGTGTGCGAGGAGACCCCGTGGGCTCCTGGGGGCCTCTGCCTCCAAGCTCATGCAGCGTCCAGCACAACCAGACTTGCTCAGACTACACGCATAAAATAAGGGAGTGGGACTGGCAGGCTCCCTGCTTCTGCATCTCTGGCAGGCCCTTTGAAAGCCCTGGCTAGAGGAAATGTGGTCTTACCAGCACACTCAGTACCTTCTCATAATACTGGATGTTCTTGTCAGCCATTCCCATGAGCAGCTGCCGGAAGTCCTGCCTCTTGTTGTCCTGCCACCTCTCCATGTCAGCTTTCAGATCAGCATTGAAACACTCCATCCGATCCTGACACTTCTCAACGTCTGCTGGCACCTGCAAGGGGATGCATAACTGGGTGCTCTGCATGTGTCGCTGCTCACACACTTGTGAAAGGACTATGTGAAATGCCATCAACACACCCTCTCCTCTGGAGGCATTTAGTTGAAGGCAGGCCCTTGGGTTTTCAGGTCTAAGAAGGAATTCTGAAAAGGGCTATGCTGACCCAAATCTTCAAGCCCATCTAAGCACAACAGAGACTCAGGAGAGAAATACTCCCTCCACCCCCCATTTCCAAACAGGAAGAAGAAACACTGCAATTCAGAGCCACAAGTCTTTGTTTTTTTGTGTTTTTTTTAACCTATCCATATGTATACATGTGCGCAGATTTTACAAATACACAGCAGTCTTTGGCACAACCCTACTATTCTCCTGTGTCCCATAATGAAACCTTCTAGGGAAGGTTCCTGGGTCTGTTCTGGGGGTGGGATTTCTGATGGACCCACAGATATTAAGAGTCAAAACCATGGCTCTGGATTTTATAATTGCCTGACCCTCCATTTGGGAAATATTTTTAGCTTATCATTTTCACAAGACACTCACCCCACTGCCTGGAAGTGAAGAACACAAATGCACTTTGGTCTCACAGGCAACCTTATCTCAACTTGCCTACAGTCTAGCTGGGAAGAAATGAACAAGTCTAGACGTCACAGTGAGATGTTACAGGGCTTTCGCTTTGCCCTGAGCCCAGCAGGAGCGTGCTGAGGACAAGCTGCAGCTGGAGAGTGAGCCCCACTTGGATGAGGGGTCAGGCCTCCTTGGGGAAACACCACTGAGGCAACTCCTTAAAACGATACAAGTGGGACATGTGACGATGGGCAACAGGGAACTCCAGAGTGACAGTACATGCAAGTGACAGCAGTGAGATGACACCTGGACCCATCTCTGGAATAGCTATTGGCCACAGTGCCCACAAGGGCAGAGAAAGCGAACTCCAGTTGGCATGATGGGTGAGGGAAGAGAAGCCCGGGACGCTTCCTGGCGGCTAGGTTTTCTGAGGTCCATTTAACTTGTGACCCCTTTTTGGGCAATAGAAAAGCCTTGTGTTTCTCTAACTATATAGACAGTTCTAGAGCCAGTCTTCCAATGTTTGAATATTGCATCTACCCACTCACTAAATGGGTGATGTTGGGCCTCGCCATGCCTCAGTTTCTTGGATAACACAACCCACCTTATAAGGTTGTTATGAAGCTAAATGAGACAGTATGCATAAAACACTTGGTACCTGGCATATGTTAAGCACTCAACAGATATTTCTTAGTTCTAATCAGTATAAAATTATAAACCACTGTTCACAAAAGATAATCTCTCATTTGCATAGCCCCTCAAATAAAAAATACTTCTCTGAACTTTACTCCATTACATATAAAAATAGGTTTCTTTTTCATTTTCCAAATATAAAATACATTATTATTAAACATATTCTTTCAAACTTCATGCCACCCTTCACCCATGCTACCTCACTCCAAGATTTCACCAGAAATCAGAGATGAATCAGCACCAAACTATATTGGCATGAGATCCCCTTTAGCACCCTGGAACTGGGGCAGTGGCTGTAACACCAGAGGGAGAGGACAGAGCAGACCAACCTGGTGCAGACAGAAGTGACAATGCGGCAACCAAATGCACGTGAGAAATAAGATAGCAAGTCGAAGAAGGGCCTGAAGTTTCTAGTCTGGGTGACTAGGCTGGTAATAGTATACCACAGGGTTCAGGATAAAGGACAGTTCCACAGATCAAATAAAGGGGGGGTGGGTAGCTGCAGCCACAGGAAGGGTGAGACCCTCCCCATAAGAGAGAGCTGAGACAACTCAGTAAAAAAAACAACCCAATTTAAAGTGAGCAGAGGGCTTGAATAGACATTTCTCTAAAGAAGATACACAAATGGCCAAGAAGCATATGAAAAGATGCTCCACATCACTAATCATTAGGGAAATGCAAATCAAAACCAACAATAACACCCTGCATCCATTAGGATGGATGGCTACCAGCCTCCCAAAAAACAGAAAAGAACAAATACTGATGAGGACATGGAAAACTGGAACCTTTGGAGATGTGGAAAACAGTATGGCAGTGCCTCAAATAATTAAAAACAGAATTACCATATGATCCAGCAATTCCACTTCTGGGTGCACATCTGAAAGTTTGAAAGCCAGGGTCTCAGAGATATTTGTACCCCCTCAGTCACTGCAGCATTATTCAAAATAAACAAATGGTGGAAGCAACTCAAGTGTCCATCCACAGATGAATGGATGAACAAAATATGGTACATACATATAATGCAACATTACTCAGCCTTAAAGAGGAAGAAATTCAGATGCAAGCTATAATATGGAAGAACCTTGAGGACATTATGCTAAGAGAAGTAAGCCAGTCACAAACAGACAAGTACTATATGACGCCATTTTATATAAAGTACCCAGAATAGTCGAATTCACAGAAAAACAAAGTAAAACGGTAGGTGCCAGGGGCTGGGGGAAGGGTACAGAGTTTCAGTTCTACAAGCTGAGAAGACTTCTGGAGGTTGCACAACAAAGTGAATGACACTACTGAGCAGCACACTTAAAAACAGTTAAGATGGTAAACTCCTTGTTATGTGTATATTGCCATGATTAAAATAACTTTTAATATAAAGGGAAACTTTTAAAATATAGGGACATAAGAGGGTGGAAGGGTAGAATTCATGGAGAAGCCTACATGTATAGGGTTGATAAGGGCATCAGCGAAGACCACTAAGAAAGACGGTGGGCAAGCAGGAAGTGAGTCTCAGAGAGCAGAGCAGAGCGCAGGGATGCAGGGGGTCGGGGAGGGTGCTTAAAAAGTAGAAAGTAGGAGGGATCAGGTGAGCCGTCTGCAGTGCCCAGCTGCCAAAGCTGCCCGGCTTCATGGAGAGGAGGCTGCTGGCAGCAGACGTGCGGGCTGCGCTGCCCTCGCTTTCGCCTCTGTGCCGGTCAGTTCACTGGCCACTGACACCCAGCATCCCTTCTCATCCCGATGGCTAGCTACGTTTGTCGGCTGAGGTGCTGGAGCCACGCTGCCCTGTCTCTGAGGATGCGGAGATGGCCTACCCAACTCCAAGGGGTGGGTGCTGCTTATCACGACACACCAAGAACAAAAGAAGTCGCCAGATAAGACCTGAAGGACAGAAACTTCTAAATGGAGAAGACGGCATTTTTCATGTTGGGCCCCCACCTCATGAGAACTCCCGTGACAGTATGCGGGCTGTTAGAGTGATGGGGAAAGGGTAGTGGGGTGAGATTAGGTATATTCTGTGCACTGGGCAGGAGGGTAGGCAGGTAAACTCACTCAGCATTCATTTAAAAACGTACTATTGAGCTCCTCCTGTGTACCAGGCCTTCTGAGCCCTACACTATAAATCCCTACCTAAGTTTCCTCCATGGAGCTGGCTGGACATACCAGGTAATCTACTCCCATGATGACCAGTAATCCAGTCCCCAAAGGTTCTGTAAGGCAGGCGTGATCCCAAGACCTGGGGTCGGGGCGGCTCATGGCTGCTACGGGTCAGCAGCCAGGACCACTGACAGGATGGTGGTCCTCTCAGTCATACGCTGCTGAGTGAAACGGGGCGGAGCTTCCTAACCGGTGCTGTGTGAGTGATAGCAACACTGACCCCTGACCCGCGGGCAAGCCAGAGTCCCAGGCTGGTCACAACCAGTTTCCTGTAACCTGCTCTTTATCCCAGTATCATACAAATACTTTCATTTTCTCTATGAGCCATGAGATGAAAAAGTTGAGAAAACAGTGCAACCAGAAAAAACAAAATTAATAAAAAAACAAACTATTAGGTGCCAACAAATCCAGAAGACCAAGTTCTCATTCAGCATTCTTCCTACAGACAACAGGAGCTTCTGGGAAGCGGAGGCTCCACCGAGGGAGAAGCAGCTGTCACTACATCAGACACTACGCTGGTCTCTCCAATTTCACAACAATCACATGTGGAATCCTTCAAAGGCTACTGAGCAGACAGTCCAAGCTGGGGACAGAGCTGGGACTTGAACCCAGGGACGTCTGAGTCTAAAACCTGTGCTCTCGCTACCAAACCATGGTAGACTGGGACAGGTACCACCTGAGCCCCCCTCTGCCCACCAAGCTGCTGCCCCAGATCCCAAACTGGTGGCACTTTCTGCTGCCCTGTTAGGTCACACTCACTGGTACACCACAACAGCCCGCTCTGCTCATCATCACAGTGGCGGAGTAAGTGGCTCATCTACCACTGGCACGGCTCAGCGTCCCATCAGGAAGAGGGAAGCCGAGGCCTGCCTACCCACGGTGTGCTAAGAGAATGCAGGTGTGTTCGAAACCTGCTGGTCAGTCTCACTGGCTGGAAAGAAACCCTTCCCATCTTGAACTCCTGTGGCCAAGAGAATGAGTTGTATGGGTAAGTGATGCTCCAGGGAGAGGCTTATGGCAGCAGCTCAAAGATTTCAACACCACTGGGAAGAGAAGAGGCCAGCAGGGAGGGCAGGGCACAAGGCAAGAGTTCCTGCAGTCTGGCTGGGTGGAACACGGTAGCCAGAAACAGCCAACATTTCATTCGTCCTACTATTCATAACCTTCAGCTCCTCTCTCTGTCCCGTATAGCACTCTGCGTATATTAAATGTCAAAAACAGCCTCTGAGAAAGCTTGTAGTCAGTGCTGAGCAAGTACAAATGCTGATAGAACTATTTAAGCAACATCTTTTAAATGCAGGATCCTCAACCTCCAGACTAGGCCAGTGGCAGAACTTGCTGTCTTTCCTATCCTCTCTAGCCAGGAAATGTGACTTCTGCACTTATACTGGGGAGCTAGGTTGTTAGAATGGAATTTTAAAATATATGAACACAGTATTCCATATCATTCCTTTAAATAAGACTGAGACATGGGCTCAGCAGACAGCACCTTCCAAAATAATAGGAACCAATCAATGAGACAGGCAGCTGGAAGACGGAGGGCAGCTGTGCACCGAGCTGCATTTCCATCACCGCCTCTACACGGGACAGAAGGCCGCCAGCCAGTGGCAAGAGGAGCAAAAGGGACAGTGCCCGGCTCTCTGGCCACGTCCCAGCTGCAAGAGTCCCGATCCTTATCACCGGCCTTCCTGTGAGATCTATGCGGTCTTCCCGCTCTTGTGTAGATCACAAGGTCACACACGAAGCGGTGTAACCAACACGTACTGTCTGCCCACCGTCCAGCACGTCGGATAAGATGCTGGCATCAACACAGTGAGGCAGTTTATTGAGCTCCTTTGTGCCTCACTTCCTCACCCATGAAGTGGGGAAAGAATGACGCCATCTCTAGGTCTCAGATGAGGGCTGCTGGGATCATGTGAAGCAACTGACATAAGGTACCCCATCGAGTCGAGGTGTGCTGTTTCTGTCTGAGGCACGGGTTTTGGATTCCCAAAGCTGGTTCCTTTCCAGCAGCGAGAGCCCAGGCAGAGGAAAGCCATCTGAAGTCGGAGTGTTTCCTTGAAATGCGCACCCCTGCTGTTCTTCTCCTTAATAACACTTCCTACTCCACCTCTTCTTTGAAAACAAACACATCTTCCAATTGCAAAAAAAACAGAGCAGAGTAATGTAAGGGCAACTGGCAAGGTTCTGAGGCCAGACTGCAGGTTAAAATCCTGGCTCTACCACACACGGGCTGTGTGATCCTGGGCCTCAGTCAGCCCATCTCTAAAATGGGAATAATGGTGCCTGACCCACAGGACAGTTGTGGGGAATAAATGAGATGATATGAACAGCCTAGTACACTGTAAGCACACTGTAAGAATAAACAGCTACTCTTAACTGGTTTTTCATCGTGGCTGGGGGAAGGGACAAGCAACAAAGACGGGCCAGTACGGAGAAGTGCCCTTCCAGCAGGGTCCTCTAGAGCACGGCGCCAAAGCTCAAAGGCACCACAAGCAAGCCAGACCAGTGCATCTCAAATTTTTTGGGAAAGGGCAACTTTTTGTTGTCCCTCTTCCCCAATACAACCAACTTGCAGTTCTACTATGCATAACTAGTATGCGGCTTGCTCCACATGCAACTCTCCATGCTAGTTTCATTTCACAGCACTCTAGAGCATTCCACAAATGTCAGACTGCTACAAGTGTTTACTCTCAGCTTCTGCACTTTTCTCATCATGGATTGGTTAACAGTTCATGGACCAGTCTACAAACCACGCTTCTGAGAAACTGATGACTCACACTTCTCTTCCCCTTTCTCCTCAACCCCATTTAACAGAGAGGACCGCCCATGAATGGCAGAGCCAGAAGTCATAAAAAAAAAAATCCCAGAAAACTGAACCCCAAGTGCACATTAGGAACTCCTAGAAATAAGACACAAAAGGGAGCAAAATGACAAAAATAACAGCATCAGCCCAGCCCAGCCAGTACCGACCACCCCAGTCGTGCATATCTAGGACAAGAATTCCCTTAGCGCGAGCAGGGCGATGGCAGCTTGCAGCCCAGGGCACCCCCGGGGCTTCCTGACCTTGGGGCGGTCTTCCTTTCTCAGAGCCACAGCTTCCAGCTTGGCTTCGTACTCGGCTTGCACTTGGTCCCTCTTCTTCAGTACGCTCTGTGGGAGGCAGAAAGGGGAAGCATGTAACACCGAGTTCACAAGGGGGCCTCCAAGACCCCAGGCAGGTGGTGCGTTACCCCATTCCTCCCCACATCACAGCACACCCAGCCACAGCCCTGTGCTCCTAGGACAGTCCGGCTGTAGCCTGACACTTGACATGGACTCCGGAGGAAGCAGGGGTGGAGGAGGGAGGGCAGGAGAACCATTCTCAGAGACTGGGCTTTGTCGTGCAGTAATTCTGTCTGATACTGAAAGTGACAGAAATCCTGAGAAAGGCAAGTGTGCGGAATGGTGTCCATCCACAGCCATGCTGATGAGAGGACTCGACTTCCCCAGTTGCAGAGAGAACTCAGCTTTGTCAGAATGTGGAGCCTGGCAGGTGACAACGCAGGACATTCTCTAAACTGTTAACGGAAAAGTCTAAGTCAGGGGAGTTCATCAAGTTGACCCCTGGTGGACTGATTTGCTCATTGATACAGTAGCCACTTACCTGCCCTCCACTCAGGGCCAGGGATCCAAGGAGCAAACAACACAGCCCCTACATGAGGGGTGCCGGCTGGCAGAGAGGTGCAGACACAGCACAAGACCACAGCTACGTACAAGTCTGGCATCCCTGGAACCAGGTGGCGAGCCTGCCACAGCCAGCGCGGTATGTGGGCTCAGAGAGCAGCCTGGGCAGACTCAGGCCAAGGCAAACCGGGCACCCAGGATGCAAGATTTAAGGAGACATACCTGGGCCCGTGCAAGAACAAGGTCAGCACCTAGGCACGAGTGCTTCCCTTACCTCACCTAGCCGGCTCTGCTGCAAGACCCCACCAGGAAGAACGGAAGAGCCTGCGTTCGACCTTCTAGAAAAACATGTTTCATTCACAAGTTTTTTTCTTCTTTTAGTAGAATCACAAATGGCCAACTAAAGGTGGTAAGAATGTTCTTTCCCACTAACTCAGATGTCACAAATTACTACAAAAGTGTCTCATCTCACACTTTTCCAACAGGAACGTTCCATCAGAGCATGGAGTCGGGGTAGGAAGGAGCCATTCCTCAGCTAAACAGTGGGCACCTTGTGACCCTGACAGCGTGCTAACTGGTGATCTCAAGAGTTGAGAGCATTCTGGGACAATCCCCTAATGGAGTGTGTCGACACGGGGGACCTCAAGTCTTCCCCTGAAGTGAGGATTTGCTTTGAGAAGTGTTTTACCATGCGAAGAACATGAGGTAAAACCGGCAGTAGCTTGCTTTTCATTGTGTGCCACCCGTCTTTCTCCGGAGTGCTCTGAAGTTCCCTCCCCACACTGAACACCTTGGGGTCAGAACGTTTACAGTGCTCTTCAGTAGACGTCTGGGTGGCGGTGGGAATGTTCCGTTACCTGCACCGTGTAGCACAGGGGCCACTAGCTCCACATGCCCACCCAGCCTTGAAATGTGACTGTGTGACTGGAGGAGCTGGACTCCAGTTTTTAATTTTCATTCGCTTGAATTTAAACTTAGCCACCTGGGACTAGTGGCTGTCATACCGGAACTGCACAAATCTCTAAAGTAAAACAGAAAAAATAGATAAGGGGTCCTTTCTTGATTTCATAGAGCCCAGAAAATATTCTGAATCTACTGGTCTGGTGTTAGTAGTAGTAAAAACCACAACTCCCCACCTAAGAGAAATAAGCAGAGGATGCCATCCGTGGACACACACACGTGGAACCACACATGTGGTTTCCCGAGGACACACGTCCCGCGGTGGGACGGCAGGGAGAGCGGCTGGCAGCAGTTGTCATCACGGCCACGCACACCCTTCACAGGACCGTCACATCGTATTGGAAAAAGCTCGCATACCCAGACCGGCAGGGGCGGGGCTCGGGAGACAGGGCTGCGTGGTTCCAGGGACGCGCTGTCAACATGGCAAGCGCCTCAGAACCGAGGCTAGAAATGCTCTTAAAAACAAAAAAACCGCCCTGGGATTCAGCTCAGCACGGGGCTTCCCTTCCCCTTCCCGCACCGCAGGCAGGGGCCCCAGGTCAGCCACCGCCACCCCCCTGCCTCGCCTGCAGTGACCAGAGTTCCTTCTCACGTAGACTAGCTGGAGGACTTGTGCTGACACCCCTACCTCACCGGACAGCAAAAAAACCGCGCGACTACCCTGCGGCCGCGGGAGGTACTGTCCTCATTTTACAGACAAGAGTGCGGGGCTCCAGCGGAGAAATCCGGTTGAGGCTGCACTGCTGGCCACCAGCACCGGGCGGCTCCGTCAGGCTTTCCCAGCTGCGGTCCCGCCATCCCACCATGCTGAAGGCTGGGAAACGGGGTTTGAATCAAGCTGAACTGTTTAAGCCTACCATCCTCCTTGAGAGCACCTCTGCACACCCCTGGTGATGGTCGGAAAAAACTGCCTCCCACCCCGCACAACACAGGGTCTGTCAATAAATCAACCCATGGCTGATGCCCCTGAACCTGCAATGGGGTGAATGGGCCAACAGGCCACGTCAGCACCTTCACAGAGGTCGCTCCATCGCTGAGTGACAAGCGCAAGGTATTTATCATCTGGGCTTCTCACAGAACTTCACAGGGGTCTCTGATTCTAGCGGATACTGTAAATCGAAACATGGTGTGTATGGACATACGTCCATCATTACATGGTGCATCCCTGTACCCTCATCTATATAGCCATCCTCACCCCTGCTTCTGCCCGGCCTTCAGGTATCTTCATTCATCTACCCAGGTGCTGGGGATACGGCAGAGGGCAAAATGCACAAAGCCATGCCCTCGCAGTGCTTACATTCTAGGGGGGGAGGCGGAGGTACATGGTAAAATATATTAATATATAATGTGTAAGGCAGTGCAAAGTGTTGAGGAAAAATAAAACAGGAAAGGAGGATGTGAAGTGCTGAAGGTTTGTGGGATGGTGGAATCGTACCCGGTGTGCTCAGGAAGGGCCTGGATGAGGAGGTGGCTTTTAATGAGAGACACGGGATACATTTCTATTTTTTAATGTAGAATACTTCATGTGGTCCTCTTTTTAAATGTAGAGAGGAAAAATGACTCCGTTTAACAATAAATTGCAAGGAAAAATAAATAGATGGGGAGAGATTTTTTAAATATTTAATAAAACTATCAACCAAGTATGCATTTTATTTGAATCCCTATTTGTAAAAAACAAAACTGTATAAAAAGTGTCTGGAAGAACAGGGGAAACTGAACACTCACTGGATTGTTTTAAGAAATACAAAGAAAAAATTTTTGAGGTGTGATGACAATGTGGCCCTCTTCTTTTTTTTATAAGAATGCTTGTATTTTGTTAAATGTACTAAGAGTCTTTCTATGAAATGATATGTCATCTGGGATTTGCTTTAAAATAATCCAGGGGATGGGGGTCGGGAGCAGGTGGGAGTAAAGCTAGAACAAGATGGGCCACGAGTGGGCTGGCTGATGAGGACAAGGGGATTGGTTGGGCTTTCCCTCTGGTCTTGGATGTTTCGGTTTTTCCATAATAAAAAAGTTAACAGAAACATAATTACTGTCACCCAAAATATTTACAATAAGCAAACAATAGCCATTACACTACAATGACAAGAGTGTCTGGAGGTGAGACCACAGACACATTCTGTGGTTTGGCTCTCAGTATCTGCACTGGACTTTCTTCCAAGAAAGCACCGCAATGGGCAGTATCACTGGAGGGCTCATCCCCTCTCCACTCGCAGAGCTCAGGCTCACGTCTCTCCCAGGTTATGGGAAAAGGAGGAAAAGGAAGTCCAAAAATAGCCCCCTACGCAAAAGACTAATGCAAAAAGCCTCATCAAGTCCTGAAGGTTTTTAAGCTTCAAATCCTTTTGTAAGACGGACATTAGGATGCAGGGTTGAGAAGGTATGTGAAAAGTCCAAGAGCAGCTCGGCCCCAACGGGAGAATCTCAGAACAGAACGGGTCATATTCTGACACACCAGGGCCAACAACCCAAAGGACCCAAGAGCAATCTGTGTAGAACAAGGAGGGTACCATTACCATAATAGAAGAAATGAAAAAGAGAACAAATTAAACACCCGAAACAGCCTAGGGGTGTGTTTTGGGTGGCCCTCCAGGAGGGCACTGTCCTGCAGGCAATGCTTTTTTTGACATGCTCCTTTTATACACTCATTCTATTGAAAACAGACCACTAGTGAGTTAAATTTTCTAGGGCTATGTGGGTAAAAATGAAACCACACATTTCCCCCTAATTTTAAAACTTACCTGTTATAGAAAATGTGGAAAAACAAAGAAAAATGTAGAGGAAGGGAAAATCGCATTTTTTAGGCACAACCAGGCATAACACATTATGTCTTCACAGTTTTTTCTTCTTGCAAACTTTTTGTCCTCTAGTTTTTTCTCTTGCATCACACTTCTTTGATACTTCTCATTTTTTCTGTTTTCTTCCTGGTACTCCTGTTATTCAGATATTGGATACAACAGTCTGGTCCTCTCATTTTCATATTTTTTTCTTTCCAATACTCTGTCTTTTTATTCCATTTTATGTATGATTTCCTTAACATTTTCTCCCCCCTCAACCCCCATTTCTATCATGGGTTCCATTCCATGTGCTCTTTGCTTGTTCTCTGGATTTAAAATTTTTTTGTTTTATGGCTGTGACATCTCTTCTGAAGATATTAGTGATTTCTTCCCCTGGAAATTTTCTTCTCCCTCAATGATTTTTCACTCAATATGCTTTTTCTTCATTGTTTTTACTTGATATCATATTAGAAACTTCCCTTAAGTATTCGGTGACTCATGTCTGCCTACTCACCCAAGAAAAACTAAAAACCTGATTGAACGCTCTCTGCACATTGAAGGCTGGTTGACAAGTCTCTATAGGGATCCTGCTGGGACAGAAAAGATCTCTACAAAAGACAAAAAACTGTCTTTCCCCCATTGTTCATTCATGTATTTCACTGAGGATCCTCCTGCAGTATCAGTATCTTCAAGTTTCTTTTCTCGTTCTGTTCAGATTGTCTAGAAAAGACTCTTCTGCAGGGAATA